TTATTTAACGCTCTGAGTCACTTTATCATTCGCAATATTTTCATAATCTTGCATTTTTAATTTTTCTACGTATCGTAGTCAAACTTGAAAACGAAATATATTTATGTCAACTTCATGTTGCTATGAATTTGACGTCGAACGTAGTCTTCATACATGTTGCACGCATCGTACATTGGTTGCATCTGCAGAGTATTTTATGGATATTCGGTGCTCCGTGAGAATAGCATTGCCGTTACAGAAGGAATCCATGGAATTCACTTTATAACAACTTCTTCGTGCAACCTGAAGCTTTGGACGAATCTATTTAAAGCACCATTTCACTGAAACTTCCGTTTCCCCAAAACGAGTTGTGAAAAATATTTTCTCTAATTTTCTCCTCCAAAGAGGTGAGATTAAATTTGATGAGTTTCCACGCAGAATAATTCGTAAGAAATGTTCTCTCTAATTTTCTTCTTCGAAGGGATGAAACTTGAAATTTGATGAATTTTAATGATAAAAAAATTTTAAAATATTAGTATGTGCTTTTTTTTTTTTTTTTTTTTTTTTTTCTTTATAAGATTGATAATCGATATGCGATGAAACCACCATAATAGGGAACAGTTACGTTCGACCTTCTGCGATCTTTTAGCATACATGAAATTTCTGCTTACGTATTTTCGTATACGTGTCACGTATCGATGACTCAATCGACTCTATATACTCCAGCGAACGTATGATTTGCAGAGTGCACGATAAGCTATTGGTATTTTGTTTCTTCGTTAAGTGGTTTGCCATCTCCCCGAGTTAATGAATTTTATCAAAGATTTAATAAAACCATACGTATGCAAATTCATTAGACGACAAATTTAATGAGCTAGCATTTCAATCGTTGCGGTAATCCCATCATTTACTTTACAAATTACTGGAAAACCTGTTGAAACCTATTTTTTTTTTTTTTTAAATTACACGAGTTGCAAAGTGATTATTCTATTGATAATCGATACATATAAAACGCGAGAGTTTCAAATTTCTCCAATTCCAATTTAATTGCGTTAATCAGCTTATAAAATACAGAGTAAGGAATTAAATACGTTTCTCCTTTTCGGGAAGAGAATTTGGCCAAAAGGACCGAGTCCCACCTGGTCGTTACGCTACTGCGTGGGACGATGCACAGTGCAGTCGAGCGATGCACCAAGGTCGAGGCCACCTATGCTATTACCTGAGAGAGTGCATCTTGGTGCATCGCTTATACGTGTGCGAGTAAAACGCGTTGCGTGCACACGTTAGCCACACGCGAACCAGCGTTAAGTGCAAAGACCTCCCCTCGCGTGTTTCAGAAATACTCGTTAATTTGACGAGCGTGACTTTCCCGCTGCCCACCGTGCAATTTTCGCGACGAAACTACTATTTTATTTCTATCAGTTCTCGCCTTACCGGCGAACAAATTATTATATACAAAAAACGATCAATTAAACGGCTCTAATTCTTACGCATTATTTACGGAAAGCTGTTGCGATTATTCCTACATAAATATTAATTTTATTTCAAATTTTCTTCCTTCAATTTTAACAGAGCGTACAGTTTCGGAATATTTGTCGACTAAGCGTCGGGATTGCTAATCCAAGTAGAAAATGTTGATGATATTGTTGGAATTCGATGCGAGGGAATGTTATATTCTTGGCTCGTAAGCTCTTCGATGTTGACTCTTCTCTCGTTAAATTATGATTCAACCGATATACGTCTATCTCTTTTTTTCCTTTTTTTTTT